TATGTAAGTTTGGAAGGAAGTCACCTGCAAAATTGAGTGAGATTAGACATGTTCTTTTCCCTCCTCTGGACTTCCAGGATCTGTTGGAGCAAACAGGATTCCCACTGTTTGCCTGGCAACCTCATGGGTGTGGCCCTGGGTCAGCGGCAGGGGCATCACCTGAGAAGTGGTTAGAAATATAGATTATCAGCCCTGCCCCAGGCTTACTGAAATAGAAATGTGTTTTAATAAACCTTCTGGGTGGTTCTGATGCAAGCTAAGGTTTGAGAACCATCACTCTAAATAAAGCACTGTGCCCCCTTTTCAAAATTAGCACACTTTTCTCTCCAACAAGGAGTCATTGACTCTCTCTCTTCTGTCTGTGCTCAGGCAGAAATATTGCCAAAAGTGCAAATAAGCCCAGCCTCTTGAATTGGGTGAGGCCTTGCTCTGCAGACTTTATTTACACACCAAGTTGATTAAGTTCTGACAATCCATCTCATTCTGCCAAACTTTCCTATTGGGAGTAGCACCTTAAATAAAGGCCCTCAGCTACTTCACTTTTATAAGCCAGTTTATTATATTCGAAATGCTTTTTTTCTGCGGGGCAGTACACCTAGTACAGCTTCACCCAGGGCAGAATCACAGGCACTTATACCTGGGAATGCTTAAATAGACCAAAGTCTCTAGAACATTCAGCAGACCTGCTTTTGGAGAAGTATGCTCAGTACCTCAGTACACACAAGAGGAAAAATAAAGATATCGGCATACCAGGTAATAGCTTGGTAATGATCATCAGTGACAAAATTCCATTGGATTCACTTACTTGCTCATAAAAATTAACAGGCAAAACATGTTTGGGCTAAAATGAGCAATATACAGAGTTTTCAGGGGTGGTATCCAATTTAATTTTTAGACTGCCAGAAAGTATACTAACTGTTTCCCCTAGTGTGTGTTTCGGGCTATATGGTAATTTTATTATAGAGATGCCAGAGGATAAGGCGTGCTGCATTTCTGTGTTCCGCCAGGCAGATTGGGAATTCAAGAGAGTGCTTTCTCCTTCATTCCCATTGTCTTCTAATCCTTCGTGCTCAATCAAGAGCTTGCAAAGTCCAGATAAATACCAGGTGCAGACACAGAAGCCAACATGAGAGGGGTGAGTGTTTCTTCTGGACTTGAATGGGCTTGAAGAGGATTGGAACTGATGAAGGACCAACTTCTTGCCCTTCCTCAGAGCAAGTCAGGTCACCTACCACATGGCATGGGCGTGATTTCGTAGGTTGTTAATATTAGATGATTTGTTTTAATAAAGAGGCATCTCACTAACTCAGTAAGTTTTTAAGTTATCCACCAAATTATCATGAGGAAATATTTTAGCACATTCCATATTTGTGGAATTATTGGAATACTGGTAGAAATGACACATGTTCAGTGGTGGTAAACAGTTTGCTTGAATTATAACACAAGATGTCTAGCCAGGAAAAATAGAGCTATGCTCCCAAAGAGTAGAGAGCACCTCTGTTGATTAGGCCTTACATACACACCCCTGTGTTCACTACAGCATTATTTACAATAGTGAAGATATGGAAGCAACCCAAGTGCCCATCAATAGACAAGTAGATAAAATAGTGGTGGTACATATATACAATGGAACATTACTCAGTCATAAAAAACAATGAAATCTTACTATTGAATATTTGTGACACCTAGAGAGTATTATGATAAGTGAAATAAATCAGAGAAAGACAATACCATATGATTTTCCCTATATGTGGAATGTGAAGAACAAGATAAATGAGCAAACAAAACAGAAACAGACTCATAGATAAAGAGAACAGACTGATGGTTAACAGAGAGGATGGGAATTAGGGGGCTGGTTGAAAAAGGTGAAGGGATTTAGAAGTACAACTTAGTAGTTACAGAATAGTCATAGGGATGTAAGATACAGCATAGGAAATACAGTCAATAATACTGTAATAGCTATGTATAATACCAGATGGGTACTGGAAATATTGGGGGGACACTTTGTAAAGTATATGATTGTCTAACCACTATGCTGTACACCTGAAACTAATACAAAATAATATTGAATATAAACTGTAATTGAAAAATAAAAATTAAAAACTAAAAGAATTTGAAGTCTGCAGGTTGGACCTCAGAATACAAAGATATTTATTTATTTCCAAGCATCTCTAGAGTTCTCTATCACTGCATGTTTGGGACTCCTTTACCCTCCAGCCTTTTTTTTTCTTTTTTTAAGAGTTTATTTAATTTTTTAGAGAGGGGGAAGCAAGGGAGGGAGAGAAATATCAATCAGCTATCTCTCGCTCACCCCCAACTAGGGAACTGGCCTGAAACCCAGGCATGTGCCCCAACTGGGAATTGAACCAGTGACTTCTACATTCACAGGCCTGCGCTCAACCCACTGAACCACGCCAGCCAAAGCTACCTGAAGTCTTAACATGGTGTGGAACTTCTTTAATCCAGATGTGGGCCTTGCCCAAGATGGGCAGTCAGGACCCTTCTCTGGGGAATTTAGAGTTGAGCAAAACTAGTCAGTCTAGGAGTTGAGGTTGTATAAACTCAAGTTTTATGGTAAGCCTTAAGTTTGAGAAGGTATGAAGCAGATCTGCAGAGAGAGGACAGAGGACACTGGGCTTAGAAAGATAAGACTTGCTGGCCAATCATTTCCCAGTGGAAGGATCCACTTCCTCACGAAACTCTATTGTACTGCTTGCTGGGTTTCTGGAGAAAACTTCATACCTTTGTAATAATTTGCCATTTTTATCTCTGAAATCAAACTCTTAAATAGCATTTTCTTCCTTGCAACCTTCTTGCTTAGACTAACGTGAGGCGGGGCAGGTGTCCCAGGGCTTGGTCTGACTCTCTAAGCTGATGATGTTGCCCTACATTTTAAATGGAAGAAAGTCCAGGAAGCTTTCGGATTGCTCATTTGGAGTATTCTAGGCTAGATAATATACTGATTGCTATACATTCTTGTTACTATTGCTGTTGCTTCTAATGCTCTGCCTACACTCTCATTTCACTGCCACAATCTTATAATGAGGCTTCTGAGTGGTTAGTGTAACTTGCTGAGGACACAGAGACGGCACATGGCCAAGCTAGGATGGGGGGTACAGATCTCCTTCTCAGAAGGAGCTGCAGAAGAGGCAGGGAAGGCTCCCACCTGGGCCAGCCTTGGGCAGTATCAGAGAGGGGTTGGCTCAAGACACTAATTCAGAAGGGCTCTCAAGGATGACCTGGGCAGGGCAGGGAAAAGGGGGTTGTGTGAATAATGAGGGGGGATTAATGAGGGGTGGTTGAGAGAGGGATCAGTCAAGCTCAAAATAGACTGTTCATTAACAAGCATCCATAGTGATTTATTCCATATTAGCATTTGTCCCTAATGTTCCGTAATTGTCATGGGAGTTGTGAGAATGGCAAGGGGTTGTTGCAAAAAGGCCTTTCTACAAGCAATTCTTTGACTTGCGCTGCAGAGCCCTTCTCCAAGACACAGAGACAGGTCTGCTTTTATACCTGGCACTTACCTGAGCAGCCATATGGTACCGGTCTCTGATGGGCTCAGTGCCAGCTTCTGATTCCAAACTATCTCATCATCTGGGCTTTTATTTCTTCTCTGAAAGAGTGCTGGTAGCCTGTGGGCGGCCCATAGAACCTGGAGCAGTTCCTTCCCATCCCAGGACGTGGCTCTCTGCCAGATGCCTTCAGGGAGCAGTTGCAGAGGCCCCGGCCTCCCAAAACCAGCTAGTCTAGGACAAGAAGTCTGTTTACAGTTGCCTTTGGGATTTGATTAAGAGGATGATATGCACATGACGGTGAATGGTTACGATTATTTGTTACGAAAATAAAGATGGCTTTCACATTTTTTAAAGGCCTAGTCATTGTGAAACCTTTTCTCCCCTCTCTTCTAACACTTATGACTTCATTTCTGGAGATCAAAGTAGACAGAGCTTTCGTAACTCTTCACCCTAGCATTCCCAAAACATGTGTGCATATCCAAGACTCCCTAAACTCAGGGAGTTAGACCAAGTTTGTGGACTGTAATGAATATGATGCATTTAGAACCCCAGGTCTCCTTTCTTCTCTTGTTTTGTTGAATGAATGCCTTGTTTCGCAAGAGCTGGTCATGATGCTGCTAAGAGATAGTTGAAAAGTATTTTCCATGATGTCATCTAAGCTTGTGGGGTTTTGTTTTGTTTTGTTTTGTTTTTGCTTCTCCTATATAATAGCATATCTTTTGTTTTGGTAGTTTTCTTTCCCTAGTTTTGCATGCAGCTGGATGATAGAATGTTGTTTTCTTTTCTCAGGCAAAATTGGATGCTTGGTCCTTTCCAAAGTCATTGTTAGGGTTAACTGAGCCTTAGAAAGTGCAAGAATCTGTCCTGTTATAAACAGGAGTATTCTAGGATGTACAGAAATACTCTTATTAATGACGATTTTTTATTATACGCTTTGTATCACAGATTTAGCGACTCGTTTTCTGACAGATGTGAGCTGCAGCCTGTCCTTACAAATGGCGCCAGACCTGGAGGGCTTTTAATGTAGGTGGAGGCTGAGGGACCCAGGAGTTTGCTGAGTGCCAAAAACTGGCTTTGACTCCAGTGCTGCCAAGGCAGGCACTGACATATCCCGTTGGCTCAGGAAGCATGTTACATGCTGGAGACTAACAGAAAAAATGGTAAAGTCAGCTCTCCGGGGAGCCTCCCGAGAAAGCTTTACCCTCCAGGTCCACCAGCATATTTGCCCATTTCTCTTTTTTCAGGAAAGTCTGATGGCTTTAATACTATTATTATTTCATAGAGATTGGGAAGGCCCCCGAGAGATGGGCGATTTGCTGAACTCTTTCTTCAAGGAGAAATTCCTGTGCTTGCAGTGAGAAACTCACGCTGTTGCATTCCATGCAGGGTCGGGACAGGGGAAGTAGACAGTGTCCTGCTGTGGGAGTCCTCTTCCCAGAAAGCAGGAACGGGCAAGTTACCTGTGTGCTTTTCACCTCTTAGGTTCACCAGTACTATAGCTGTCTCCCAGAGGAGAAAGTCCCTTATGTCAACAGTCCAGGAGAGAAACTGCGAATCAAGCAACTATTACACCAGCTGCCACCACATGACAATGAGGTAAGGGGCTGGGGGGACCTCAAGAAGACTTTTCCTAGAACCTTCTCTGAATTCCTACCTTTCTACAGTTAGAAGGCTGTGATCAAGGAGATCTCCAAAGAAAGACTCTGGCAATGTATTTTAGGTTTTAGCTTCCTTAATTAGAGCCAAAGGAAGCTGTCGGACACCTTCTGGAGAGTGTTACCAAAAAGCAGAATCTCATTATGGACTGGGTTTGCCTCTGAGCCTGGCACTACTAGCTATATGAGGGAAACCAAGGAGCACTAAAATTTAAAAGCTCAAGTCCAGGTTTTCTTAGTTGAAGAAGAATGAGTGAGGCTGGTTTCCTGAGCACATTAGACGATGGAGATTCCCTGGGCCAGTTCAAACCCTGCAAAACCTTCGTGACTCCTTTATTTCCCATACCATGGCATGTTAAAGGAGTGTGCACGTTGCCTCATGCTACACAGTAGCAGAAGTTATGTGTCCAGATTGCAGCTCTGAAATTCTGTGTGTTTGTCACTTAAAGTCCAATTTGCTAAGAGGATCCTTTGTATCCTTGGAAGTATGGCTTGCAGGCTGTCCTTTTTGTTCCTGAACCCAGACACATGGCACTGTAAGCAGGCTTTTCTAATGTTTGAAGATAAATTGATCATAAAGGGAAATTTGTAAATATGCTTTTAAAAGATCATCATGCTTGAGGGGTTTAGATTTGTAAACTAGAAATTAATTTTTAAATATCTTGTTTGTAAAAATAGTAATCATATAGAATTGAACTATCCACTGAACTCTGATTGCATTTTAAATAAAAACATAATTTTCAATTGAAAAAAAATTGATACATCAGCTTTCTACCAAGTGCCCCACCCATAAGCTGGATCCCAGGGTAAATGACTGAGTGCTTTTTTAGTCTTTACCTTTCTACATTTGAATTAAAAAGGATAAATCAGAAGCCACAAAAATAAATTTGAGTAAGTGTAGCTTAAACACTGAAGCAACTCCTAGAAAAAGAGCCATGATTCCCTTTCCTATTGTTTATTTCATATTTCATTAAAAATATATATAAAGAATGTTTTCTCATGCTCGCTTCGGCAGCACATATACTAAAATTGGAACGATACAGAGATTAGCATGGCCCCTGCGCAAGGATGACACGCAAATTCGTGAAGCGTTCCATATTTTTGGAAAAGAAACCAACAGAGACAAGAGGGAAGGAGGGAGGGGGTGCAGGGAAAAGGAAGGGAAGGGGAAGTCAAGGAACATATAGCAAGGACTCATGGACAAAACCAAAGGGGAAGAGTTGAGGGAGGGAGGGGGCAAGGGAAAGTGGTGGGGGGGAAGGCAGAGACAAATGTATTTGAAAAAATTAATTAATTAATTTTTTTTAAATAAAGAATGTTTTATCCTTAAAGCTAAAGAGCAAACCTTGTAACGTGATGCCCAGTTAACTAATTTGGAAGTGAAAATTCGGGTTTTGACAAGCAGAAGGGGTATGCCTTTCTTTAAAAGCATGTCCATAAAGTATCAGTAGTATAAGCATATATTCTGGGCTGCTCAGGTCCCTGTAATTCTCTCCCTGGCACATCCAAATGGAGAGTTTCTTTTTTTGTTAACTCTTTTTACATGATAGAGGGACCTGATCTGCTCTTTTCTCTTTTTAATAGTTCATTCTGTTCACCATTAACTATGGTTTCATGAAAAGAGACCTTTCAAATTCCTCCTTCCTGTTGGTGAGAATTCTTTACAAGTGACCCAGTGGACAGATTCTACCCATTTGACATGGCCCTTTTGAGAACAAAGGGTGATTCTAAAGTAAATATTTGACCATTCTTTTTTTCACCCACAGAAGACACTTTTGATATCTACCGCTGCCCTGGTTTTCAAATTGGGATGCACCAGTCTAGTTCAAAAGGTTCCTTACAACTATCTGGATGACAAAGCATCTGAGCATTTCAATTAACCTTTCTGATGCTCAGCTTACTTAAAACTAAGAAAGGCAGTGGAATTAGGACAATGTATCCCAAAATGTGGGAGATACAGGACTTTGGGTGGAGGGAGCATGGACAAGGTGGTAAGTAAGGAACCCTGTAATGAGAGAATCACTTCGTTTTAAATTGTGTGGTTGAACAATCGGGGAAATTTCAGTTTGGTGCTAGTTGGTGTATCACATTTCTTCAAATCATCCTAGTATCCACTTTGAAGTTGCAGCATTAAGATTCTGCATTTTAGGATCTCCCACAAGCAAAAGTAGCCAGCTAGAATCTAACAATGTGGTTTTGTTCTCACTATGTTTAGTTTATGGTCACTCTCTGTTTTTTGCAGGTAATGCTGATTTTCCATTTATAATCTTAATATACTTTCTAAATAAACATATTCAGGTTTTAAAATGTGAATTCATTTTAAAACAATATTAAGTAAGTAATAGTTTAAGACCATGACAAAATTCCCAAGATGTACAGACATAAGGGGAGAGATGGGAAATACTGGATCAAATGTCTTTAATTCCCTCCCGTATTTCTGTGTCTGTTTGATAAAAAGTAGCATATCTTAATTCAAGTTGATGCATTAACCAAAGCAAATAGGCGCTCTTTTCTCCTGCTTGTGGATAAGCAGGCAAAGACCTGCTTATGAAGCAACACAGATAACCTGTGAGCCAATTCTTCAGTCTCAAACCTCTGGTTCCCCATTTTCCCAATAATGTGATGGGAGAAGAGAAGCTTTGAGCCCATGGACAGCGGTTCTGGCTTGCTGGTTTGGAGCTGTCCATTGGTGTCAAGGACCATTTAAATTGGCAAAGGAGCTCCAAAGTATGAGGATCCCACAATTTGAAGATCCAAATCCATTTTAAAGGAGGAGAAAGTCCCAGATCTCGGATTGGATCTTTCTGTGGTCAGTAGAATGAGGCAGTAAGGATGAGGAGCAGGTAGAGACTTTCATCCTGCCAAGCCCTGGGCTCCAGAATTTGGAACCTTTAGTAAGCAATTTTGCCTGTCACAGTCTTATGCAAAGACTCATTTTAAACGTTCCCAAGCCTGGTGGTGTTAAAGTACAGGCCAGGATCATAAAACCAAACAGGAGCGTTTTTAATGAGAAAACTCTGAGGCTTGTGCTTCAGGAATCCTAAGGGACAAAAGCAACTCTCCCATGCCATCCTCTGTGTCTGTTCAGGTCCGATATTGCAACTCCCTGGATGAGGAAGAGAAACGGGAGCTGAAGCTCTTCAGCAACCAGAGGAAACGTGAAAACTTGGGCCGAGGGAATGTCAGGCCCTTCCCAGTCACCATGACAGGAGCTATTTGTGAACAGGTGAGTTTGGATTCTGAGGCATGAAGACACTTTGCTCTGGCTCACTTTCACTCAGTCATTCACTCCACAGTCATTTTATTTAGTGTTTCCTTTGGGCCAGGCATTGTTCTGAGATACAGCAATGAACAAAATATTAAAAGTTTGATCTTTTAATAAGGAGTCAGGACAGATAACATAAATAAACAAGATTAAAAAAAAACTACAGCAGAGAAGGTGTTAGGAAGTGCTGGGAGTGTGGGGAGGCTGCAGTTTTCATAAAGTGGCCTGGAAGCACCCACCCCCAACTTAGAAGGTGACTTCTGAGCAAAGACGAGCAAGAATTGAGAGTGAAGCATGAAGGCCTTGGGGGAGGGGCCAATGGGTAGAGGGAACAGATAGTTCAAAGGCCCTGAGGCAGGAGCATTTCATTCGTGTTCAATGAATGGCCAGTTGGCCAGTGTGGCAGAGCAGAGGCATGAAGGAGGAGGCCTTGGAGATTTATGTATCCATTGAAAAGAGTCAAGCCAAGGAATGACATATGATAGATTTCTATTTTACCATGAGTCCTTTAGAAAATGGAGTTTGCCTGGACTGTGGGTCAGCCGCTTTCTCACAATCATCCCAGGGCCAGTGACATTTAAAGGGTGGTAATTGATGGTCTCCTTGGTTTGAGGGTTCTTTAGCAAAGTGCATGAAGCCCCCTGCATTATTCCTAAGACCTCCCTGAGTTGAAGACTCTGGATTTGTTTTTTCTCCTACTCTCCTATAGGGTGCTCAGGGCATGATGGCAGAGGAAGGTTTTAAAGAAAACAGGGTGGTGGGAATCCAGCCTGCCTGCATTCACCCTGCCCCTCCTCTCAGATGCCAACAGCCTCCTGATGCTAAATGTAATTTTCCACACTTCATTGAGCCCTGCTGCTTTTTTTTTTTTACAGGCCCACCTAACTGCTTAAGCTCTAAAGGGCCCCATTCAGGTGCTGAAGATATGTGAGCTGGGTCTGTGAAGGGAAGGTGAAGTGAGAATAGTACCTCAGAGGAGATGATACCATTTGGGGCTTTTTTTTTTTTTGGATTTCAGAGAGATAGAGTAAGAAGGTTCACGTGGATGGAATGGAGACACTACTTAATAGGGGAACCAAAGGACCACAGGTTTGGTGGTGGGGTCTTCATCCTTAAGATACACCCTTGAGATGTACGTGGTCAGTTGTTAAGGTCTGAGATTTGGTGTGCTCGATTCAGGACCTCCACCTCCACCACTTTCAGATCCTTCTACTGGAGCTAGCCCGACTGAGCTCACCTAAGACAGAAGGAAGGTTGGGCATTTTGTGGGCGGATGTCAAAAACAGTACAGAATAGTGAGAAGAGCATGGAGGCAGAAAGACCTGAGTTTGACTCCCATTTCTCCCAGATGACTTTGACCATGTTACTTTTCCTCAGTTTTGTCATCTGCAAAATGGGGATAAGAAATGCCTACATCATAGGATTATGTTGAAGATTAAATGAGAATTCTGTGTTGTTAAACTAATCAAATAAGGAGCCCATTACACTGAGATGGCTCTAATACTTTGTATGGTAGCCTGCATAAGCAAATCAAAACCTAAGCCAGAATCAGTTACTAGAATCCAGGAAAGTGAAACTTAAGAACAACCAATCACAAATGCCAACTAGGCCTTCCCAAATAAGGCAACCGCTTAAGTTACAGCCAATCAAATAATTTCCATGCTTTGCTTCTGCCTCTTATCTGGAAAAACCTCTCCCTGAGCTCCACTTGGAGTGCTCCTAACCACCTTCAGTTTGGTGCTACCTAATTTGATTCAATATTTTCCCAAGTAAACTCTAGAAATTTTTAATGTACCTTAGTTTATCTGTTAACAGTATGCTACCCAGTTCTACTAATGTTAAAAAAGGAAGGCGTATTATTTTTTTTGTAACATAATGTCTTTCTTTTTTGTCTGGTCAGTCACATGAATGAGTTCCTAAAGACTGTTGAGATCTTTACTTCTTTTTCTATAAAGCATTTCAACCTATGTGAGGTCCATGATGTAGGAAAGGTTTGGAGGTTGCTTTTCTAATCTCTAGACATTGTCCCCAGAGCTCAGCCCCACACGTGGGGCTGTGAACCTCATGATGAACGCCATGGTCAGCAGAGAACCTTCCGCTGGACCTACTGCTTCACACTTTATTCCTCCCTCAAAGACCCTCAGCCCATATTGGCTTTATCCCAACACCAGCTGTAAGCATGGGTGATTAGGGATTCTGCCTTGTTACTTTCTGTATGGGGAAGGAACTTCAGAACATGGATGGGAAGACACGAGAGGGAGGGAGAAGCTGCCCTTTTCAGAGTCAGATCTTAGAAGTGGTGCCTTTTCAATCAAGACTATATAAAAAGATATTAGAGAAAGCAGGCTAAAAGCATGCTGGAAAGACTTTCAGAGAAACAGTTGAAGGTGGGCATATTTTAATGAACCCACTCCCCTATCATCTTACAGCCCCCTCTCCCCACCCTCAGCCCCCACAACCTACTCCTCCTGGTGTTAAACTTGGCTGTGCCTCTGGATGGCGGTTGGAGGATCTAAAAGATAATGAGACCTTCACTCTGTGTAAGTTTGCCTCCTACCTGCAAGCATTTTCCTTTCTTTCCCACCTTTGTGAGTTCTTATTTTCTGACTTCATCTTCATCTTAACTTGGTGGCCCTACTAAAGGAGAATGGGGGGAGGGCATGCACTTAAAGCAGGTAGCACAGGGACTAGTAGGAAAATAAGTGCTCGGTAGTCGACTATTGGTAGAGGTGGTGGTTGTTTATCACCTGTGCATGGTACTGAGCGATGGGAGCCGGTGTTCACACTGACATTTCTGTTTGCCTCACAGTGCGGTGGCCAGATTAATGGCGGGGACATCGCCGTGTTTGCCTCACGTGCTGGCCATGGTGTTTGCTGGCACCCACCGTGCTTCATATGCACTGTCTGCAATGAGCTCCTGGTGGACCTGATCTACTTCTACCAGGATGGGAAGATATACTGTGGCAGACACCATGCTGAGTGCCTGAAGCCTCGCTGTGCAGCCTGTGATGAGGTCAGTATACCCTCCATGGGGCTTGCAGCCCTGTCTATCAGGCCTCTGTTGCACAACCAGCACATCGTCTAGTGGCTGCCTGCACAGAAGAAAACCACATTCCATTCCACCTCCTTATATTAACCCTTTCCAGAAGGAAGCCGCATCCCTTCCTGGTTGCTAGCATGTCCAGGGCTGTGGCTGGCTTTACTGAACACAGCAGTCTCATGGACATCCAGGTGGAAAGGCAGTTAGTTTCCATAGTTGAGGAGACTCCTGGCATTAGGTCAGTTCAGAATGCTTAAAGGTTGGGGAGTGGGGGGTGGGGAATGGCATTGGGCAGGTTTGGATTTCAGCCGGAATCCCAGGGAGTAATCATCAGTAACAATGTACCATTTATATCTTAATAAATTCTGTTTTCTTAGCTTCGTTGGGGCAGATTGGTTTGAGAAGAGAAGAAAACTGGTAGCATTATTTAAATTTCCTGCAATATACCAAAGTTCTGGTGAGGATTCAGAAAGCAGATGGATACTCCATTTGGAGACCTCTGCCCTGCACTGTAAGAGGAACTTGAATTTGCTCCCAAAAATAAGAAAGCAGACAGAAACACAAGGCCCAGACCCTGGCACCTTCTCCCACCAGAAGCACAGCCAGGTATGATCTGTAAAATAGAAGATAGAAAACCTGGTTTAGCTTTAAAGGTTTGGAGCTTATAGCCCAATGAAAAATGTTAAGGGTTTGGAGCAGAAAGGAGAATGTTCTAAAGCTGACCACTTTTATGGGAATCATTTGGAGAAAATCTTGGACAGGGGTTTCCTCCTGCACAGAATAGAGTTTTGGTTCTATCTGACCCTGAAAACAAAGATGTGGGACTATATAAACAACATTCTGTTTTGTAGCCAGAGTTCACTATTGCATGAGCATTTTTTCCTTATAAAATACCCATGAAAGATTCACTTTTCTAGGAGGAAGTCAATCAGCCTTAACTAATTTGGATTCTCATGCTATTGGTGATATTCTAGAGAGACCCACTAGACAGATAGTTGGGAAACTGGTTTCAGGTCCAGCTCTGTAATTCTAGGAAGCCACTTTACCTTCATGCCTCAGTTTCCACATCTAAAAATGAGTATTCATGATATGTTATTTAATGACAAAGAGAATATGATGATTTAAGTGCTTTGAAATTTTTGTTTATTGAGATATAATTCACATAACATAAGGTTCGACCTTTTAAGGTGTACATGTCCAGTGATTTTTAATATACTCACAGAGTTGTGCACCCATCACTACTACCTAATCCCAGATCATTTGTATCACCCACAAAAAGGAACTCTATCTATTAGCAGAAACTTCCCTTTTCCCCCTTTGCTCAGCCCCTGGCAACCACTAATCTAATCTCTGTTTCTATGGATTTACATATTCTGGACATTTCATATAAATGGAATAATACAATAGGTGACCTTTTGTGTCTGGCTTCTTTCACTCAGCCTGATATATTCAAGGTTAATACATGTTGTAGTGTATATCAGTACTGTATTTCTTTCCAAGGCTGAATAATATTCAGTTGTGTATATCTATCACATTTTGTACAGCCATTTTTCAATTGATGGATATTTCTGTTGTTTCCACTTTTTAGCTATTATAAATGATGCTGCTATGAATATTCACATACAAGTTTTTGTATGGACACATATTTTTAATTCTCTTGAGTATATACCTAAGAGTGGAATTGCTGAGTCATATGAAAATTCCATTTAATTGTTTGAAGGAATCCAAACTTCCTTCCACAACAGCTACACCATTTTATATTCCCATATCAATAAATGAGGATTCCAGTCTCCCCACATTCTTCTTAACACTTATTGACAGTCTTTTTTACTATAGTCATCTTAGTTAGTGAAAAGTGGTTTTGATTTGCACATCCTTAATAACTAATAATACTGAGCATCTTTTCATGTGTTTATTGGCTGTTGGTATATTTTTCTTTTTTGAAGAAGTATCTGCTCAAATCCTTGTCTCATGTTTTCAATTGGGTGATTATTCTTTTCACTGTGGAATTGTTACTATTATTTATACATTCTGGATACTAGTTCCTTATCAGGTACTTGATTTGCAATTATATTCTCATATTTTCTGGTTATATTTTCACTTTCTGGGTGATGTCCCTTGGAACACAAAAGTATTTAACTTATATGAAGTCCAATTTATTTTTTTCTTTTGTTTCTTACACTTTTAGTGTGTCATATCTAAGAAACCATTACCTGACCCAAGGTCATGAAATTTACACTTGTATTTTTTCTTCTTAGCATTTTATAGTTTTTCACTCTTCAGGTCTTTGATCCCCTTTGAGTGCCTTTTAGTGTATGGTGTGAGATATGGGTTCTGATTCATTCGTTTGCATGTGGCTATCCAGTTGTCCCAGTCCCGTTTGTTGAAGAGAGTATTCTTTCCCCATTGAATGTCCTTGGCACCCGTATTGATAATCAATTAGCCATAAATGTTTGGTTTATTTCTGTACTTTCAATTCTAGTTTATTGATTTACGTGTCTGGTCTTATCCCAGTACCACTCTGCCTTGATTGCTATAGTTTGTAGTGAGCTTCTGAATCCATGCTTTGAAATTTAAAAACTCTGTATTAAAGGTCAAACCACAAATGCTTATGAGGGCCAGCAGACAGTGTACATGAAGGTGGCTCATGTTAAGGCAACAGTGAGTGGTGAAGTGCATGACCAAACTGGAGAACTCACCGCCCATGTGAGAGCAGCAGCCCCTCCTCAGCTTGAGCTACTGTGGCCGCGCAGGAATGTATACTGAGTGTTGCGAAATATATATTTGAAAGAGAAACCAGGATTCCAGGTGTTTATATGACATTTCTAATTTTTAAAAAAATATTGTGTATAGGCCAAATAAAACTGATATATGTGTTCGAAGTGCCCATGGGCTGTCAGTTTTTGGTCCTGCCTTATGTTCTTCATAGTAGAATACTCTTTCTCTTGTTAAAATGTGATGAAATTAATTATTGGCCAGGCCAGAAACCATGTTTAATTGTAATTTAGGCAAATCCAAATGCAGGAGCTGATTTAAATAAAAAATGAACATATACATATCAAATTTAATTTAATAATTTGTGGGCAGGACCTGCTCTCCCACTCTTCTAGTGTGTGGAGCCCCTAGCTTTTCTCATTTAAAATGCATTCTTGTGGCTGGTCCCTAACCATTTGGCTTCCCATCTCCAGATCATCTTTGCTGACGAATGCACTGAAGCTGAGGGGCGGCACTGGCACATGAAACACTTCTGCTGCTTCGAGTGTGAGACAGTGCTGGGTGGCCAGCGGTACATCATGAAGGAGGGAAGGCCCTACTGTTGCCACTGCTTCGAGTCCTTGTATGCAGAATATTGTGACACCTGTGCCCAACACATAGGTGAGGCAACGCTGGGGCTCAGCTTGGTCCTTCTAGGACTGGACTCCCATTGTGTCTGGTGTAGTTATAATCTCTTTGGTCGCAAATGATAGAAACCCTATTCATACTAGCTTAAGTGAAAAAGGGAATATCGTGGCTTACATTGCCAGAAAAGCCAAGGAATATGTTGGCTTCAGTCAGGGATGGATCAAGGGTTCAAACAAAGTCTGGTGGTTTTTTTTCTTTTGTGTCTTAGTTCAGCTTGCTCAATAGAAGCTCAGTTCAGCTTCTATTGGCATCATTTGGAAGCAAGCTGTCTTTCCAGGGTGGCCAAGATGACTGTCCAATTATACAGTCTTAGCACTTGTGTTCTATAAAGGAGTAGGGCTATGTTTCTTCCAGTATACAAGTGAGATTCTCTGTATAGGAACCCCATAGACCCTGGTTTGGTCATTGTTCTGCCCTAGAAACAAGAGGATAAGGGATTACTAGATTCCTGCTGGTCTGCCTGAGTCATAGGCCCACCCCCTAGGTGGGGCTATGCGATGTACAGACCCACTACCAATGAGCCATCCTTTAAAAAGAAAAAAAATTGTCAGTGATAAATATCTGTTAAGACCAGCAGCCTGGTCTTCCTGTGGTTTGTGCAATTCCAAGAAATGTGCTCAGAAGCCGCCAGCTTCTTACCTGCCATGAGTAGATGTGGAGATAGTCTGGGAGCCCATTTTGCCCCACATCAAAAATTTTATCGGGAATAAAATGAAGTGGCTTTCTTTCCCTGGTTCATCAGAAGTAAAGTAGTCAAATGAAAAATTAGCTAGCAATTTGGAGGGTTTTGTGTATTGACAAAAATCACAGCTTTTTGGACAAGGCACCTACGTGTGCTCTGTGGTCCTTCGTTGTTGGACGTCCATTCCAACTCCCTGCTTCTGTGAGGCCTTTCTGGGCTGGAGGCTTTGAGGCCCAGGATTAAGCATTGCTCTGCTGTTCTTTGTCCAGCAGCATCCCCTTCTGTGGCCTTGAGTGATGCATGGATTCCCTTTCCCAACCCCTAAACACCTCACTGTCTCGTGACCTGATGCCTCAACCAAGAATCCAACAGCTTTTGTTCTCACAAGGTCAAAATAGTCAAAAAGATAAGCTTTCCTTTATGGTAAGAGTTAGGGAATGGGGACCTCAACTTGGACAAGTGCCTGGGCTGTGAGGAAGGGCAAGGGTGGGACACTGTCAGGAAGACGGTGCACCTTACCTACCCAACACTGCTTACTCTGGATTCTGGATCTGCATGTTGGTGCTTGCTTGGATGGGTTGGGTTGAGTTGAGTATACAGAAAACTTGTAGCAATGATATCCCCTTCTCGTTAGTATTTCTATTTTTTCTGCCCCATTCTATTGAGACTACACTCCAGAAACTGCCACTTAGAATTTTTGCTCAGCAGCACGGAAGAGAAAAAATCTGACTGTCACCACCTCATGTACACTTCAGAAAGCCCCTGTTTTCTTCTTTCCTGCTTCTTCTAGGTATCCAAGAACAGTGACTGGCATTTCCTCTCCTTTCCTCTTAAATCCATAAAAAGGCATCCATGTTTTACCAGAAAAGAGGACCTCTGTGGCCTGCAGAATTATCACTGCTGCAATTCAAATGCTCTCCCTGATTTTTTTTGCTCTAAATCCACTTTTCTGTAAAACATAATTTCCTGCGACAATGAAAGGGTGCGCTCTGTGTATCATACATACCAGTCTCTGGCTGCTTTGCTCTGACGATATTCTACAAATATTCCATATTTATATAGCTGCTCAGAACAGGCCCTGAATCAGGCAGCTGTTGCTAGGGCAACAGTACTTTTGCCTGTGCACAGCAAACAGTCCTATAAACAGACAGCAGCTTATAACAGCAGTAGACATATCTACCCTCTGAGAAGTACTTAAAGGGCTTGCAGTGGCAGGGGGCGGGGTGGCGGCGGGGGGTGGGGGAAGCACTTACATGTGGACGAGCAGAGCCTTTTTTCCAGATGTTTAGAGTTCAGGAGCAGTTCAGAGCACCATCTGACATCGCTGATGTTTATCAGGGACCGTGTTCTGCTGCGCGCTGAGCCACTTGGTAACACCCCTCCTTCTCCACTCCCCATGGAGCCCAACTGGTTAGGAGGCCTCTAGCCTCAAAACTAGGCCCCTGCTGCAGATCTGTGTATCTGAGCATGTTTCCTTGCAGAAGCACCTAGAATCAGCCAAAGAAGCTAGAGGAGGACAGGCCATAGGAACTGGCCTTCCTAAGTACCTGAGACAGGGAGTGGGGAGGCTGCGGCTGCTGGGCATCTGTGTGAGTAGGAGCTCACAGTAAGGACCCGAGACAGCTGGGAGGTCAGCAGGAGCTCCCTGGAGGAGATTGGAGAGAGAGAGAAAGGGGTGAAGACCAAGCCAGCCTCAGAGTTCTCTCCTGGCCCTCATCCAGGCAGTGTCCCTCAGAGTATAGAGGGAGACAGGTATTAATTCCTAATAAAAACACAAGAAGGGCCACCTAAATAAAAATAGCATTTTAACTACTTAAAAAAAAAAAAAAGAGGAAAAGCGATCAGAATAGTTACAGGCACAGGTCCAAGCATTATCTGCATATTAAGTCAGTTAATCCTCACAACAACCCTATGAGTAAGTACTACAATTATCCCTATTTTACTGTGGTGGAGACCGAGGCATAGAGAGATAAAGCCACTTGCCTAGGGTCACACAGCCAGATAGGAGCAGAACCAAGATTTGAACCTAAGCTGATGGGCTTTACCATCTTTACAACCAGCTGGAATGGCAGGGGACTGGGATTTGAACCTGTGTTAGTCTGAGTCCTGAAGCCTCACTTTTAACTGCTAGAGAGTTCTGTCTCCAGGGCTGCCCGCCCCTGCTCCTGCCAGGAGCCAGGGAATAAGTGTGAAAGGAGCCACAGGTCTGGGTTGGCTGTCTCTAGCCTGCCCCAGTCAGTTCTCACACCTGCTGGGAATGCTGTGCTGAATGAAAGTGAGTTGACTCAGTGTCCCTTTCCCCTTGGCGTGGCCTTTGCGGCTGCTCCTGTCCCTCTAAAAATCCCCTCTTAGTTCCTCGGGCCTGACTACTAATGCTGCTCTCTCCCTGGGCTCCAGGGATGGAAAGGTAACTGGGAAGGACACAGACAGGGCCAGGAGAGGCTGCTCTGCTGTTTGCCTTTGTTCTTACCCTTATCTTTTTCTCTTAGTTTTTTGTTCACTGCTTCTCAGGACAAGTCTCTGAAAGTTATTTCTAGAAGGTCCAGGCTCAGGATTCTCAACCACTAAAGGTGAAGGGTCCTGTCAGTGCTGCCTTTCTGGAAGGATTTTCATTGGCAGACACCAGGAGTCCTGCACAGGTCCCATTCCCTCCCGCAGTAATTGTGGGATGGCACTCTCAGTGGGCTGCCCCCTCAGGATGGGGCCCCAATAGCATCTGGCTTTCATTCTGACAGTTGAGAAACTATCAAAAGAGAGCCTCCCTGAGTCACTATCTTAGCAACAGTCCCGGGTGACGCCTCTTGGCCTGGTGCAGGTTACATGCCCTCCCTTGAACCAATCACTTGGCTGGGAGATACATTTTTATACTGGCCAGTGCTGGGTCTAGGTGTCACTTAAGCCCTGCCCAAAGCCCCTGGACCAAGGGTAGCAGGGAGATGGTACCTCTCAGGGAGACTAAGTCCCATAACCAGAAGAAGGCAGAAGGGACTCTGAGAAGCAAGTGCAGCGGGACCTGTGGGAGGTTCTCGTACAGGTGTAATGAGGTTCTATAAACCAGGCACAACCCTGGCTTTGGGATGAAATGTGTTTCTCCCTTTCCTGAAGAAGTTGAAGGGTATGGATGCTTATGGAAGAGCAATTCATTTGACAAACCATGTCCAACTTTTTCCTTATCAAGAGCAGATTTTTCCTTACCAAGAACTGAAATCCACGTTTTTCTTTTCCTCTGAGCTTCTACAGTTATTACCCTTTGAAATGGGGTACACTGGTGGTGGGGTTCATCTCACCCACCTATTCGACATTTGAAGAGCCCCTACAATGCACCAGGCCACGTTCCTGGGATACCAAAGAAACCCAATGGCCTTGTCCTCACAGAGTGTCATGTTTAAGTGGGAGAGAGAACTAATCAACAGGATGCATATACTCTTATGTAACAGTCCAATGTCAAGTGGTACTAATGCTATAAAGAAAAATGCAGCAGGTGTGGGTGGAGAGTGATAGAGAGCATGTTAGTAGGGTGGATAAGACAGCTTCCCCAAGGAGCTGCCTTTTGATCAGACCCCTAAGTAGAGTGAAGGAGGCAATGTCAGTGTCATGGTGAGGAGCAAGACTCCCTGGACACAGATCTCATCTGTGATTTCCAGCTGTTTTACATGAGACATGTTATTTAACCTCCTGTGCCTCTGTTTCCTCATCTGGAAAATGGAAATAATATTAGGAACCTCTCTCATACAGTGGAGGGGTTAGGTTAGTTTACACATATCCAAAGTACTTGTGATACGTTGGTATCATTATTGCTGTTGTCTGGAGGAGTGTGTCCCAGGCAGAAGGATTCATGGGCAGGATACGTGGATCTAGTTTCTCAGAGCCAATGAATTAAGAAGGAGATAACTATTACAGCAAGGAGTTGCTCATAATAGGACACAAATATCATTTCCTTGAGGGCTTGATCACTGACCTAATGACATTGTATTCTGCTACATCTGGAACCCTGAGCCACACCAGCAGGCCGCATGTTTCACAACGTAATGCAGTAGTTGGAGCAACCTGTCAGCCCCTTCCATGTGTCTTCTTCCCTCAGGGATCGACCAAGGCCAAATGACGTACGATGGCCAGCACTGGCATGCCACTGAGACCTGCTTCTGTTGTGCTCACTGCAAGAAATCCCTCCTCGGGCGGCCGTTCCTCCCAAAACAGGGCCAGATATTCTGCTCACGGGCCTGCAGTGCTGGGGAGGACCCCAACGGCTCGGACTCATCCGATTCAGCCTTCCAGAATGCCAGGGCCAAGGAGTCCCGGCGCAGCGCCAAAATTGGCAAGAACAAGGGCAAGACGGAGGAGCCCGTGCTGAACCAGCACAGCCAGCTGCAGGTGAGTTCCAACCGGCTGTCCGCTGACGTGGACCCCCTGTCGCTGCAGATGGACCTGCTCAGCCTGGCCAGCCAGACACCCAGCCTCAACCGGGACCCCATCTGGAGGAGCCGGGACGAGCCCTTTCATTACGGGAACAAGATGGAACAGAACCAGCCCCAGAGCCCCCTGCAGCTGCTCAGCCAGTGCAACATCAGAACTTCCTATAGCCCAGGAGGGCAGGGGGCTGGGGCCCAGCCAGACATGTGGGCCAAGCACTTCAGCAATCCTAAAAGGAGCTCATCCCTGGCCCTGAAGGGGCATGGCGGCAGCTTCATCAAGGAATGCCGAGAAGACTACTACCCAGGAAGGCTGAGATCCCAGGAGAGCTACAGCGATATGTCCAGTCAGAGCTTTAGTGAAACTCGCGGCAGCATCCAAGTCCCCAAATATGAGGAGGAGGAGGAGGAGGAAGGGGGCATGTCCACTCAGCAGTGTCGGACCCGTCATCCACTCAGTTCCCTGAAATACACTGAGGACATGACGCCCACGGAGCAGACCCCTCGGGGCTCCATGGAATCGCTGGCCCTGTCTAATGCAACAGGTAGGTTCTCCAGCAGTCAGACAGCGTGGGGAGATCTTGGGTGACCTGATGCCGAGCCTCACGGTTTTCATGTTGTTCCTGCCACATGCCCTCCTGCAGGTCACTGGGGAAGGTGCACCTAAACATCAGATGGCTTCTTTGATTGGATTCCCTATACGCAGAGCCTGAGACAGTCATTTAGGTGCCTGTGAAGTGTTGAGGGAGTGCTTCCAGGATGGGGTAGGGGGAGGAGCCCTGTGAAGGATGTTGTCTGGACAGAAGCGCAGCTTCAGCCCAACCTCAGAGAGTCTCTGGAGGATGTTACCCTACACAGTTGGTTCCCTCTTATGGCAAATGGGCTGACTTTTGGCACCATCATGTCAGTCAGTCATTGGCCTTGGGCTGCTGGTGAGCAACTGGGGGACAAGGCTGTGGATGTGGGGATGGGGCAAGGCAGCTCCTGTCAGCCAAAGGCAACATTCAGGAAAAGGGGCAGCTGTGAGCTAGAGGCAGTGCTAACAAAACCAGGTGCTGCCTGGGGCACCAACGCATCTGCAACAGCTTCCAAGGCTGTTCCAGGCGCCGGTATCTCATTAGGGAGCTGGTCTTAATGTGCAGATAAAGACAAAAGAGAGAGAGAATGAGAATCTGATGTCCAGCCTCTCCAGGCAGATTGTCTAGCTGATTTGTGTACATGTGAAGATGTGTCGATGTTCTCTAGGGTGGCACTACTGAAAGAGTCATCTGAGGATCAGGGCTGGCCACGGTCCACAGCCCGATGAGTACTAAAAGGACAATGTTTAGGGACTCTGAGAGCAATTTGACAATAGTCAAGTGCATGTTCATTGGTTTCACTTATTGGTCTAGGTACAGACCAGCAAGGGTGTTGTAGAACCCGTGGGTGAGTTGTATGTGGCATTGTTGTGTATCGGTCACATTCGGGATGGCACATACCAGTCCACAATGGATTAAAAATAAACTGGTCCTTCACCGAGGATAGCTTCAGAAGTACTGCTCTAAGATGCACTAAGTGTATCTGCGCCTCACAGGCTAAACCTCTGAGGACGGAGACCACCTCTACCCCATACCACAGGGATCCCATAGTCAAATGTGTCTGGGTGGAGATTATGGTAAAGTAATGCCTGTCAGCCCCATCTAGAGGGGACAGCCATTCTCAGCTCCAGCTGCATGTTGCCACTTACAGGGTTATTTATTCATTAACTAACAGTGATATAGTTTTAACCATGTGCCAAACATTGTTCTAAGCACTTTGTAAATATTAATTCAGTTGAATCATCACAACCCTATCAAAGAGGAAGGCTATTAAATCCTCACTTCAGAGTTGAAGAAACTGAAGCACAGAGAGTCTGGAAAACATGACCTAGCTTTTAAAAGGTGGAGAAGGGATTTGCATGACCCCAGAGCAATTCTTTTAATCATACCAGCCTGCACCCTAATATGAATCCATGCTGTCAAATCTCCCACTTGTTTCAGACAAGTTTAAAATGTGTGTTTTTTTAAGATGTGAAATCTCTGTAAACTCTCTAATAAGCAGAACACATCTCTGAGTTGCAGGATGTCTGTCTGTACAGTGTTTTTAACTGTCATCCCCCTCAGATGCTTTCACATGTGTTCTCACCTGTCCTAGAGGACAGAGAGGAGATATCCCCTACCCCTATGTTTCAGATGGGGGAAAAAAAAAATGAGGCCTTGGTGACTAAGCACCTTGCCTAGCAATTAGTGCAGAGTGATGACTATCTGGCCTCCAGCCCAGTCTGTACTAGTCTCCAAAGATTTACCGTATGTGCTATAATTAATTATTTAAGAGGCAGGAGATAAATAAGTAATTTAGCCTCTGAAGCAGTTTCCCAAAGCTAGACCACCTGTATTGGAATTGTTGGCAGCTTGATTCAAACACAGACTCCAGGGCCTCCCCTAGGCACCCCTGCCTCAGGCCCTGTGGAGGTGAGCTCAGGAACCTGCATTTCAAACACCTCCCTGCTGATACTGATGCAAGTCCTGTCTGAGGAATATTAATACTGGGTTTCGCCTGTTTTGTTGTTGTTGTTTGGGGGGGGCGGGGTTTGTTTTTTTGCCCTCACACTGTGACTTGTGAGGAAATCAGGACATCTGGGGGTTGGGGAATGTTGAAAAGGCCTCGTGGGTACATTTGAAGAACATATAGTCTCTAATCTTGAGAAAGAGGCAGAGACTTTATCCCCATGATTTTCTATGGCTCTGGGGGCAAAACAACTAATGCCCCCTGCCTCTGAGGTTTTTGGAAAGCAGTGTGAGCCACATCAGATACAGCCGAGAAAAATTCCTCAGAGCAGCACTATCTAATGTGGTAGCCACTAGCCATCTGTGACTATTGAAATTTGAATTAATGAAAATTAAAGAAATAAAAATTTCAGGCCATCAGCTGCACTTGCCAAATTTTAAGTGCTCAACAGCAGTGAACTAGATATCAAATTTTTGTGTTTTTTTAATCAATTTAGATTTCAATAGCCACATGTAGCTAGCAGCTACCCTGTTGCACAGCACAGATTAGGGAAGTGAGCAGTTAGGATGGGCATGATTTTAACCTCATCATTAGTGTCTTTAGATGTTCTCATAGGAGCACTGGTTTTTCAGATGCTCAGTTAACTGATGGTTTGGAGTACCAGTTATGGAGTCACTCACTAGCTTGAAATTCAGCCTTCACCACTTAAGAGTTATGTGACCTTGAATAAATCACTTAAATTCTGTTAGGTTCCATTTCTTCATCCATGGAATCTTGTAGGGTTTTTTATGAGAATGCATTTAAACTTCTTAATATAGTTCTGGACACATATGACCCTCTAAATAGTTACCTGATGCTTTTTATTATTATTATTTCTCTCTCATCTCAAACATACTAGTGCATAATTTTGGCCTCCATGAATTGTTTAGCTACTGACATCTCCTGGCGTCCACTAGTTGTGCAGGCTTGCATTTATTCTTCAGGTTTGCAAGTGTTCTGGTGGGCTCTCTCCTTCCTAACCAATCTGAGAAGAGCATGAGAAACAGGGAAGTAAAGAAATCCACTTTATGTTCCTCTGTTCCCACGGACCTGTCGAACACAATAGCATAGAAGACACAATACCATTGAAGAAAGATTGGAGCTAATATTTGAAACACTGTTTTACTGTTTGTCACCAGAACAAACCCTAAAAAGCCTTTCTCATCCAATGCCACGCAGAACATACACCAAGGACATGGTGTTGACTAGACTTGGGGAGTCAGTCCTTTTGCTGCCAACTCTTACTGTTGCATTTAAATTTTGCTAAAAACAACTCAATAGTCTTTTGAAAAGATAGTGTTCTGAACTGTCTGTGTATCTTTAAATCCTAGAATCTCAGTCTATGAGTAACAGATACGTGTCACAAAAGGCTTAGTCAAAACACCTTGATCCTTTGGTGAAAGCTAGATTTCAGGATAATGGATTTCTTTTCCCCCATGGTCAGCAACTTATCCTATTGAGTAAGTCTGTAGTGTTTAATTTGGCACAAGCGTGAACTTTCTGTGGGCACCATTTTTTCTTAGAACAGATCTAGAAAAACAGATCACCCCAGTGGCTTGCCAGCCTCAGATGTGGGCTGCAGCGCCTCCCGATTTGGTTAGAACTGGGAGTGTCCCATCCTCCTTGGAAAACACAGTCCATCCCTTATGCTCACGGGGAGTGAGTCAGTCAGGCACAGTCACCATGTACGCCAGCGCCATGTGGAGCCTTTGCAGAAGTTCTTTACCCTGCCCTAAATGTGACTCTAAAGCAGCTAGCAGCCTAGATGATCACAGCATTCAAAATAGTAATAACAGCATCAGCTAATGTGATTGGGTGTTTATCATGCACTAGGTATAGTTTTAAGCACCTTATGTGAACTAACTCACAACAACCCTACAAGGTAGATAGAGCTGTTAGTCCCAATTTACAGGTGACATAAGTGAGACACGGGCCACACAGGTTGGAAGAATAGGAGGAGGATTCAAACGTAGGTATTCTAGCTCCAGATCCTGTGCCCTTAGCCATGATGCCATAGCAGAGGTAGGTGATGATGGTGACAATAACTGATGATAATCATAATAGACCACTGACTGTGAACCTGATGTGCTAATAACTTCCTGTATAGCATCACTTGAAAACCTCCCAACAACACTGTGAGATAAGTGATTTATTATGCCCATTTTACAGGTGAGTACAATAAATTCAAAGAAGTTGTCACCTCCCCATAGTCAACTCTCTGGTATACATCCTCATAGGAAAGGCCATGATCACAGGAGATGTGCACCATGATTCAGTCTAAAGGGACAAGGACTCCTTTCCCTGTGGCAGCCAGTTTGTTGATGTGTCCGTGTGGCTCATGCAGGGATCAAGGGAAGCATGAGAGCACAAACGTCAAGTAAGAGCTGAACAGCAGGAGGCAACTGGCAGTCCCGGATGAGGTGCCCAGGTCAGAGGGAGGAAAGACAAAGGAGACAGGTGCCAATCCAGGGGTTGGCCCCAGGCAGGGGGCACTGATGGAGAGGAGACTATGTCTGGAATGCAAGTTAGGGTCAGAGTTCAAGTCACAAACTGGGGCCAGGTACACAGTAGACTTGGAGTTAGGACCTGTTGCTGCAAGCAGAGGCCACATCACTGGACAGCTGGAGATTGTCAGCTGATCCCTGGAGAAGGGCCCTGGTATGGAAGATGAGGCTGAGAATGTGGCTATGCCTTGAGGATCAGCCAGATTCTGTAAGGAGTGGTTGGGTCAGGAAGGACTAGCATCTGTAAGGAGGGAATGCAGGTGTGTATAAGAATGAGGGAAAGAGAAAGATGGTTTCTATTCATTCATTCATTCATTCATTCATTCAGTTGGCCGTCAAATGTGACTTGAGTGCCTACCCTGTGAATAACAGCAGAATGAAAGAGTTGGAAATTAGACTCTCCATTTAGTACCTAAGTAACGTTGGGCAGCTAGCTTATCTATTCTGTGACTCAGTGTCCTCATCTTTGAAATGGA